TGCTGCTGCTGCTGGAAGGCAGTTCGTTGCAGCAGCAGCAGCAGCAGCAGCAGCATGTGCAGCAACCAGCAGGTACATAATTTCTGAATGGTGAATTAAAATAATTAAATATATAATAATATTTACTGCTATATTACTTCTAAAACAAACAACAAATGCAGCCGTACATAATACACACCTAGCAGCAGCAGCAGCAGGAGCTGCTGCTGCTGCTGCACGAAGCCCCAGCAGCAGCAGCACCCGCAGCAGATTCTTCTATTAATTCTCTCTAATAACGATAGACGAATGAATAAATAAATAAAAGCAATAAAATTAAATATAATTAAATATAAAAACAAACAAAGAAGAATGAAAACAACTGCAGACAACCGTAAGAAATATCGGGGTGTATATACACCTGATGTTTTGCTGTAATTTCTTCACGGATATATTATATTATAATTAAAATGTTTCTGAGATAAACAATTACTAATAAACAGCTTCTTTTATTATTTTGAATTGCTGCTGCTGCATCCGCTCTGAGGTGTACCAACACCCTGCTCTTCTTTCTCTTCTTTTTGTGCTGCTGCTGCTGCTGCTGCTGCTGCTGCTGCTGCTTGTTTGGGGCTGCTGCAGCAAGCGGGCTGCTGCAGCAACGTGGGTGCAGCACTTCCATCCTGCTGCCTTCAGCAGCACAAGGACCACCACTACTCAACAGCAACAGCAGCAGCAGCAGCAGCAGCATCAGCAGCAGCAGCAGCAACAGCAGCAGCAGCTGCGACTCCTGCTGCACCAACTACAGCAGCAGCTGCAGCTCTCGCAGCAGGCAGAAGCTCAAGCCCTGCTGCTGAAAGGTAGCACTGCAGCAGCAGCAGCAACGACAGCTGCAACCACAGGAGCAGCAACCCGAGCAGCAACAGCTGTAGCATCGATAACAGCAGCTGCAACACCGGCAGCACCGATGGAAGCAGCAGCATTAGCAGCAATGCGCTGCCCAGGGAATTAGTAGAAGCTGCTTCAGCGACAAAACCAGCAGCAGCAACGCGAACAGAAGCAGCAGCAGCAGCAGCAGCAGCAGCAGCAAATTCCGTCCAAAGGAGATATTCATTTATGATGGATGTCTGTCTGCATCTTGAGCGCTTCACGTAGCAGCAGCAGCAGCCGCAGCAGCAGCAGCAGAAGCAGCACACTGAGCAGCAGGAGCAGAAGCAGCAAACCGAGCAGCAGCAGCAGCAGCAGCAGCAGCAGCAGCAGCAATGGCTGCAATAGCGATGCCAACATTTGACTCAACTGAGAGCTCTTTGAGCTGTTATGCTGAGGACAACTACGAGCAGCAGCTGCAGCGGCAGCAGCAGCAGCTGGAGGAGCAGCAGCTGCAGGAGCAGCAGCAGCAGCCGCAGCAGCCGCAGCAGCAGCAGCAGCAGCAGCAGCAGCAGCAAGAAGAGGAGCAGCTGCAAAGGAGGAGGAGCAGCAGAAAGGCAGCAACAATATGGTTAATAAAAACAGCAAAAGAGAGAGAAAGGAGATTGTTTAGATTTGCTGTTGTCTCCTTTGCTGCTGCTGCTCTTGTTGCTGCGCTGCTGCTTATTGCACCCTCATGCTTGTAAGCAAAGCCTGCTGCTGCTGCTGTTCTTGTTGTTGCTGTTGCTGCTGCTGCTTCTCCTGCTCCTCTTCCTGATGCTGCTACTGCTGCTGCTACAGCTGCTGCTGCTGCTGCTGCTGCTGGGTCAGTAAAGAGTCTCGTGGCAGTAATTGCTTCTGTTAAGGAAAACCCTAGAAGGTTTAGGGTTTAGGGTTTAGGGTTTAGGGTTTAGGGTTTAGGGTTTGGAGACTGCTACTGCTGTTGTTTTGTGCTGCGCAATGCCCACGAGGGAGCAGCAGCCGAGGCGTGCATGCAGCATATGTTGCTATTTGCTGCTGCTGCTGCTGTTTGCTGCTGTTGCTGTTTGCTGCTGCTGCTGTTTGCTGCTGCTATTTGCTGCTGCGGTTTGCTGCTGCTTCTGTTTGTTGACTCAATTTGCTGCTGCTATTTGCTGCTGCTACTGTTTGCTGCTTCTGCTGCTGTTTGTTGTTGTTGCTGCTGCTATTTGCTGCTGCGGTTTGCTGCTGCTGCTGTTTGCTGCAGGGTGGTGATAAGGGGGAGGTCTACGTTTGCTGCTGAGCTGCATGTACTGTCTTTCTTTTCAATCGCAAAAAATAAAACAGAATATTTAGCCAAAGACGAGCAGCAGCAGGAGCAGCAGCAGCAGGAGCAGCAGCAACAGCAGCAGCAGCAACCTGCTGCTGCTTCTGTTGCTGCTGATCAAGCTCCGGCTGCTACTGCTGCTGCTGATCAAGCTCCGGCTACTGCTGCTGCTGCTGCAGGCGGTGCAGCAGGCGCAGCAGCGTCAGGAGACACTGACAACAAGCAGCTGCTGCAGCAGGCAGAGCAGCAGGAGCAGCAGCCGCAGCAGAAGCAGCAGCAGCAGAAGCAGCAGCAGAAGCAGCAGCAGCAGGATGAGGGTAAAAGGCAGCAGCAACAGCCGCACCTGCTGCAGCACGCCAAAGAGACTCGAGTAGACAGTAGCGGCGACAGCAGCAGCAGCAATAACAACAACAGCAGTAACAGCAGCAATAGCATCAACTGCAGCAGCAGCAGCAGCAGCAAAGGGGAAGGAGACAGCGAGGAGACAGGTGCAGATACACCTGAAGAGACAGCAGCAAACAGCCAGACTCTGCGGCTGGAGGTTGGAGACAGACAAGACTACAACAAAAACACTCTTCTCTTTTCTCTCGCTCTTCGTGCCTGCGCACATGCATGCAAGTAGGGTTTAGGGTTTAGGGTTTAGGGTTTAGGGTTTAGGGTTTAGGGTTTAGGGTTTAGGGTTTATTTAGGGTTTAGGGTTTAGGGTTTAGGGTTTAGGGTTTAGGGTTTAGGGTTTAGGGTTTAGGTTTTAGGGTTTAGGGTTTAGGGTTTAGGGTTTAGGGTTTAGGGTTGAGGGTTTAGGGTTTAGGGTTTAGGGTTTAGGGTTTAGGGTTTAGGGTTTAGGGTTTCGTTTGCCGTTTGGGGTTTTTAGGGTTTAGGGTTTAGGGTTTAGGGTTTAGGGTTTAGGGTTTAGGGTTTAGGGTTTAGGTTTTAGGGTTTAGGGTTTAGGGTTTAGGGTTTAGGGTTTAGGGTTTGAGGGAGAAGGGCTCCTTAGCCACCGTCTCTGAAGATGCAAGAGAAGGTCTAGGGTTTAGAGTTTATTAAGGGTTTAGGGTTTGGGGTTTACAAGAGGCAAGCCATTCGTGAGGCGGGGGAGTTTTCTAGCAGCAGCAGCAGCAGCAACAACAGTAGCCGAAACAGCAGCAGCAGCAGCAGTAGCAACAGCAGATGCAGCACACGCAGCAGCAGCAGCAGCAGCAACAGCAGATGCAGCAGATGCAGCAGATGCAGCAGCAGCAGCAGGTGTGTTGTGATTTGTTTTGCTGCAGGGAAGGAGAGAGTCTCCCTGCATGCATTTCAGCAACAGCAGCAGCAGGATGCCCTTTGCTTATCTTCACTTCTATCACTGCTGCTGCTGCATATGCTGCTGCTGCTGCTACACTTTGCTGCGTCTCTGCTGCGCTGCTGCTGCTGCTGCTGCGACCGACAGCAGCAGCAAACTCTAGAAGACGAGCAACAGGGAGGCTGCGGCAGTATCTGCAGCAAATGCTGCTGCTGCTGCAGCAACTGCTACTTCGTTGCTGCCGCTGGTGCAGGAAACATCCGCAGCAGCAGCAGCAGCAGCAGCAACAGCAGCAGCAAAATGAATCTCCTGATGTGTATATGTCTCTGGCTGGTGAAGAGGGATCCCCTCGCAGCAGCGCACATAAAAAGAGACACGTGGAAGGCAGCAGCAACAGCAGCAGCAGCAGCAGCAGCAGCATAAACACAAATGCTGATGCTGCTGCTGCTGCTGCTGCTGCGTCCCTTGCTGCCTATCGGCATACACCATACCACGCGCAGCACCAGCAGCAGCTGCAGCAGCAGCAGCAGCAGCAGCAGCAGAAGGGGGACCTAGATCTTTCTACTGAAACTGCTGCTGCTGTCCCTCTGTTGCTGTCTCCTGATGGCGGCAGCAGCAGCCGCAGGAGCAGCAGAAGCCGCAGCAGCAGAGCAGCAGCAAAGGCAGCAACAAAAGCAGCAGCAGAGGCGCTGCACTGCAACAACACCGCAATACCTTTTCTTGTTGCTGTTGTTACACTGCTACTGCTCCAGGTAAACCCTAAACCCTAAACCCTAAACCCCAATCCTAAACCCTAAGGGTAAACCCTAAACCCTACACTTATACCCGGACCCTAAACCCTTAACCTAAATCCAAAGCGTAAACCCTAAACCCTAATCCTAAGCCCTAAGCGTAAACCCTAAACCCTAATTCTACGCTTAAACCCTAAACCCTAGCATTACACCGATTTCTCCTTACTGCGCTGTGGCTTGCCTTTGTACTAAACCCTAAACCCTTATTCAAGCCCTAAACCCTTGTTCAAACCCTAAACCCTTATTCAAACCCTAAACCCTAAATGTCATCGCTGTGAGTGGGGAAGAAGGGCTACCAGATTAGGGTTTGTTTAGGGTTTAGGGTTTAGGGTTTAGGGTTTTGTTTCTGCTGCTGCCTTCAGGTGTATATACTGCTGCAGCAGTTCTCGCAGCCAGTCACTGGTGCTGCTGTGCTGCTGCTGCTGCAGGCAGACGATGATGTACAAACTGCAGCAACAGAGACATACTCGTGGGTTGCTGCTGCTGTTCTGCTGCTGCTGCTGCTGCAGTTGCTGCTGCTGCTGTCCGTACCTTGCTGCTTGTCTCCTGCTGTCTTACTGCTTGTCTCCTGCTGCTGCTGCTGCTGCTGCTGCTGCTGCTGCTGCTTTTTGTATCCAGTTGCCCCTCCTTTTGCTGCTGCTTGTCTCCTGCTCTTGCTGCTGCTTGTCTCCTGCTGCCTCTGCTGCTGCTGCTGCTGTTGGTCCTTGCATGCTTCTGCTGCTGCTGTTTGTATCCTGCGGCTGCTTCTGCTGCTGTTGTTGTTTGTCTTGTGCTGCTGCTGCTTCTTTTGCTTGGGTGTGCTGCCCTTCTGTCTCCTTTCTGTCGCTTTGCTGTCTCCTTTCTCGGTTGGAGTTGCTGCTGCTCTGCTGTTCGTTTGCTGCTTGCAGCGTTCGTCTGGGAGGAGCAGCGTGGGGTTTGCTGCTGCTGCTGCCGCTGCTGCTGCTGACGCGCTTCTTGCTGCAGCAGTTGCTGCTGCAGCAGACACACCTCTCCTGCTTCACCAAGAGATTGGAGAATGGGGAGGAGCAGCAGCAGCAACAGCAGCAGCAGCAGCAGCCCTTGCGGCGTCTCTCATCTCTACCGTAGCGGCCCAGCAGCCGTTGCTGCTATTGCTGCAGCAGCAGCAGCAGCAGCAGCTGCTGCTGCAGCAGCAGCAGTTCACAATGACACAAGCTGCAAGGGCAGCAGCCATACGATCAACATCATTACCATAGGGAGGTAGCTGCGGCAGCAGCAGCTGCTGCTGCTGCTGCTGTAGCAGCAGCAGCGATACTTGAAGCAAATGCTATTATTATTATACAGTAGCAGCGGAGTCAGCAGCAGGAGCAGGAGCTGCAGCAGCTGCCGCTGAGATTCTTTAGGGACATGTGTTGCATCTTAAGTGTACACTACCCACTGCAGCAGCAGCTGCAGCAGCAGCAGTAGCAGCAGCACAGGAGGAGCAGGAGATAGCTTAGGATCAGCACAAGCAGCTGTAGCAGTAACAGCAGCAGCAGCAGCAGCGAGTGTCTCTGCAGAGGAGACAGAAAGACACTGCAGCACCAACTGCTGTACCAGCCAAAGCCATAAACAGCGGCAGCAGCAGCAGGTGAAAGCAGCAGCAGCAGCAGCAACACGAGCCTGCAGCGGCACCAGCAGCAACCCCACAGCAGCTGCTTCAGGTGCAGGGGCAGCAGTCGCTCCTTTGTTGCTGCAGCAGCAGCAGCATTAGCAGCAACACCCCAGATGCAGCAGCAGCACCTGTAGCCCCCGTAACAGCACACGTTTCAGGTGTAGCAGCAGCAGCAGCAGCAAAAGAAAACACCACAGCAGCAGCAACCAACACCTGCAATCCCCGTAGCAGCAGCAGCAGCAGCAGCAGCAGCAGCAGCAGTATAGCAGCAGCAAAGGAGACACTTCATGCTTGCTGCATGAACATTTCTTTGAACGCAAATATAGCCAATAAAATGCTGTTGTCTGTCTCCTTTCTGCTGTATATACACCGCACGCATGCACCGCCCCCTGCTGGTGCAGCAGCAGCAGCAAAACGGCCCCAGCAGCTGCTGCAGCAACCCCATCGCACTGCCTAGCAGCTGCTGCTGTTGCTGCTGCTGCTGCTGCGCTGCTACTCAGACAAGACCCGAACGCCACAGGGGGGCCCTCAATAATATAATCCCTCACAAATAACCCTTAAGGGGCCCCCTAAACCCTCAGGGTAGAAACCCTAAACCCTCAGGGTAGAAACCCTAAACCCTTAGGGCCCCCCATAAACATTTGGGGCCCCCCTGTACCCCTTGGGGGCCCCCCTGTACCCCTTGGGGGCCCCCCGTACCCCCTGGGGGCCCCCGATACCCGTTAGGGGTCTCCAATGGTTGAGGGTGGGGGCCCCTTAGGGGCCCCCTACTCTGAGGCCTACGTCCGTTGAGGAGGAGATATTTAGGGGCCCTTCGAACCCTTTTGGGGGCCCCTTAAAGGCCTATATACCACAGTGTTTAGGGGGCCCCCTTATATATATATATATACGTTATATATATACGTTATATATATATATATGTATATGTATATGTATATGTATATGGGGGCCCCTGGGGGCCCCCAAAAAAGGTATAAATAACCGAGTTAAAGGAGAGGACGCGAAGAGGAGTGAAGAAAGAAGTGCAGCAGATAACTGAGCGGCGATGCGTGTTTAATTAACTTTAGGGTTTAGGGTTTAGGGTTTAGGGTTTAGGAGAGCATGGGGAAGAAGAAGAGACAAAGAGAACGCCAGCCAAACAAACAAAACAACAAATACTCAAATGCATGCAAACAAGCATCAAAAGACAGCCCCAAAACCAGCAAACACTCCCTACTTGCATGCATGCATGCATGCATGCATGCATAATTTGTGGCTTTGTTATGCGTGCACGCACAACACTTTGGGGCTTTGTAGATCTTCTTATGCTGCATGTGCATGCGCCGCTTCACTCACCGAACAAACGAAAAAAAATAAACAAAGAGACAGCACAATCCCGACTCTCTCCCCTTCTGCTGCTGCCGCTGCTGCTGCTGCTGTTGCTGCTGCTGTTGCTGCTGCTTCTCCTGCTGCTGCTCTGACGCACTGCTCGTCCCCTGTGGGGATAGACAGAAACAAACAAACAAAGAAGAGAAGCCAGAGGAGAAGACAGACAAGTGTGCAGCAGCAGCAGCAGCAGCAGTAGCAGTAGTAGCAAGAGTAGTAGCAGTTACTCTGTCTACTGCAGCAACTCTGCTACTGCTGCTCCAGCCACTGCTGCTGTTGCTGCTGCTGCTGCTGCTGCTACTCTTGGGGCCTTTCATTTAGAGGTGATCGGCGGCTCCTTCTTCGATAAAACTGGATACGACCCTGACAGCAACACTCCACACTGGCCCTGCAGCAACAGCAGCAGCAGCAACAGCAGCAGCAGCAGCAACAGCAACAGCAGCAGCAGCAGCACAACACAAGGCACGCTTTCATTCTTTCTTGATATTCTCAAGAAGACACACTTATCTCTTCTTCTGCCTCTCCCTACATATAAATATATAAATATATATGAATATATATATATAAATATATATATATAAATATTATATATATTATATATATATCAATATCTGTAGATAAGCAAAGAAAGAACAAATAAAGAAAATGCGTCATATCTTTTCTTCTGCATGCAGATCTGCGAACTAAATAAAATAAATAAACACTAAAAAAAATAATAAACAAACAGACAACGAGTAAATAAATAAATAAATAAACAAATTAAATAAATAAATAAATAAATAAATAAATAAATAAATAAATAAATAAATAATAAATTAAATAAACAGGTTAAGTAAATAAATAAATAACAACATAAACAAACAAACAAACAAAATAAACAAACAAACAAATAAACAAATTAAACAAACAAATACACAAAATAAATAAATAAATAAATAATAGTAAACAAATGAAGACATACCGCTTCTCCTGCATGCATAGCTAACTTCATATATCCTTCTTCGCCCCAGCCGACACCCCAGCTGTTTTTAAGGATGAAGAAGTCTTCTTTTTTGTCTTTGTTTGTTTGATATCCAACAAGAAGAACACCGTGATCTAAGTTATCACCGCAAGGTGCATTAAATATACCTTTATGATAGAACTGAAAAGAAGTTTGACTTGCTTCAATAGCAACAGAGACAGGGCCATGTGTATATAGTGCCTTCTTCATAGCCTCTTCATTCTTAGCAGGTATATCATAATACCCTTCTATATAATACTTCTTTGCGCATGCATTTACTTGACAAACACCTTCTTTTGCTTTATAAGGATACTCTTCTTCTAAGCATATCCCTTTCTCGCTAACAAACAAAAAAGCGTTCTCCATCAGCCCGCCGTTGCAGCCTTCATTACCGTAAGCAGCAGAGCAATCGACAAGCATCTGCTCGCTGAAGCTCAGCACCTTCTGCTGCTCTTGCTGCTCTTGCTGCTGCTGCTGTTGTTGGTGCTGCTGTTGTTGTTGTTGTACGAGCTGGAGTTGAAGCAGTAGGCGTTGCTGCTGCTCTTGCAGCAGTTTTTGCTGCTGTGGCTGTTGCTGCTGCTGTTGCATCTGCTGCTGTACATGTAACAGTTGTTGCTGTAGAACTAACTGCTGCTGCTGCAGCAGAATGCGCTGCTGCTGCTCCTGCTGCTGCTGCTGCTGCTGCTGCTCCTGCTGCTGCTGCTGCTCCTGCTGCTGCTGCTGCTCCTGCTGCAGTGCAGCAGCACAAAATGCACCTTCTAATGCTCCTGTAGCAGAGAATGCCCAGCAAGAACCGCACTCTGCTTGGTCTTTCACGTTCGTTACGCAGCCCTTCTGTCTCCAGTCAATAGCAGCAGGTGCTTCTATTGAAGGTAGTTCTTTATACACCTATAAACAAATAAATAAATATAAATAAATATAAAATATATATATATATATATATATTATTTTACTCTGTTAAACATACTTCTTCCCAATGTAGCTACTTAAAAAAGCAGAAAAAGATATATATTATAGATACAGAGACAGAAACAGAACAGCAGCAACAGCAGCAGCAGCAGCAGCAGCAGCTGCAGCAGCAGGCGAAGCCTTACCCCTAGCCTTGCAGTCTTTAAAGGCAAAGTACTTTTGCTGACGCCCTTCACCCATGCAGCAAATTCGTCTCGAGAAAGATCGCCAAACCTGTTCATCGCCAACTCGTATGTGTGGCCTAAACAGCAGCAGCAGCAGCAGCAGCAGCAGATGTTGCTGTTGTAGCAGCAGCAGCAGCAGCAGGTGTTGTTGTTGTAGCAGCAGCAGCAGCAGCAGGTGTTGTTGTAGCAGCAGCAGCAGCAGCAGGTGTTGTTGTTGTAGCAGCAGCAGAAGTTGTACCAGCAGCAACAGCAGAAGCAGCTCTAGTATGAGCAGCAGCAGTAGTTGTAGCAGCACCGAAATCAGCAGCAGCAGCAACAACAACAGCATTTGAGGCAGCAGCAGCAGCAGTTCAAGAACCAGCATCAGCATCAACAGCAGCACCACGACCAACAGCATCACCACCATCAACAGCATCAGCAGCATTAGCATCAGCAGCAGCAGAATAAGCAGCAGCAGCAGCAGCAGAATAAAGAGCAGCAAAAGCAGCAGCAGCAGCAGCAGGAAGAGACCGCGTACCCTGTAGATTGTGAAGCAGGATATGCGTGAGGTTTACTGTGAATATCTTCAGCCTCTTTCTCTTCTCCTCCATCGATATATACATCTTCTGATGTTCGCTGATAAACAGCTGGAAGCAAAACTCAAAGTGTGCTGCTTCATAGTCGTAGACACTTACAGGCAGAGAAGCAACTGAGACAACGCTGCTTGGCCCTGCTGCTGCTGCTGCTGCTGATGCTGCTGATGGGTCTGATGCTGCTGCTGGGTTTGATGCTGAGGTTCTGATCAAGGGAGACCCTCCGTTTTCCTCTGCTGCTGCCGCTGCTGCTGCTGCTGCTGCTGCTGCTGCTGCTGCTGCTGCTTCTGCTGCTGCGTCGTCATCTGCAGCAGCGAGCCTTTGCAAACCGCACCAAGACATCCAGAGGGCAGCAGCAGCAACACAACTCAGCAGCAGCACTGTTAGCTTCTTCTTGTAGAACATACGCTTAGCAGCAATGTGAGGAGACACAAACCCTAAACCACCAGACCTGATGCTGCGGCGCCCCCGGCTGCTGCGGCTGCTGCTGTTCCTGCTGCTGCTGCTGCTGTTACCCATGCCCCCCCCATCGCCGCTGAGGAAGGAGACATAATGCGTCTCTGCTGAGTAATCCATCGTAGCCCTAAACCCTAAACCCTAAACCCTAAACCCTAACGGACCCCAGCCCCTCGACGGCAGAGCAGCAACAATAATGTGGAAGATGCACATGCAGAAGCTACAAAACCACAACCAGATGCCTTCCTGCTGCTGCTGACGCTGCTGCTGCTGCTGCTGCTGCAGTTGCTGCTGCTGCTGCTTCTTGCTGCAGGCGTTGCTGCTGCTGCCCGAAGGCCTGGAGTTATCTGCTGCAGTTGTGCTGCAGGTGGGGGAAGAAAACACAAAAAAGACAGAAGACTGACAAATGTACACCGCAGCGCTGCTGCAGCTGCTGCAGCGACAGGGGGAGGGCCGTGAGACTGGTGTTTCTAGCAGCAGCAGCAGCACCAGCAGCAGCAGCAGCAGCGGGAGTCGTGTTAATGATGTATTCTTGCTTCTTCTTTCTTCTTCTTCTTTTTCTCTTAGTAAACAACTATCAATTAATTAATTCAATTAATTTGTTTTACTTATTTCTCACCTTTACTCTCCAAACTACGGGGTGTATTGGCAGCTTAATGACGCTGCTGGGGGCGGCTATGGGCGCTGCGCTTCTGCTGCTTTTGCTGCAGCCTCTGGAGGTTATTTCTTTGTTTTTCTCTTGTATTTCGCTTAGTAATTTAATTTAATAAACTAATATTAAACTTAGACATAAATTTACTCAAGTCAGTGAGAAGCTGCTGCAAGAGGAAGGACTGTCGATACACCTTAGCAGCAGCAGCAACAGCAGCAGCAAAAGGAGCAGCAGTTGCTGCTGCTGCTGCACACCCTATTCAGAGCGTCAGCTTTGAAACATATTATATAATATTATATATTCGAGTTGTCTCACTACTGGCGCATGCACACGAACAAAAAGAATTTCTTTTGTGTCTTCTCTCTACAGCAGTTATAATAAAGCAAAGCCCTCCAAACAGTCTTGCCTCACCTCCTTCATCTTTGGGGTGTACATACACCGCGTTTGCTGTCTCTATATCCTGTTGCTGATACTGTTAATGAATTCACGGGCCCCAGGGGCCCCCCTATAAGGGCAGGGGGCCCCCTTAGGACAAAAGGAGACTAACGGTTAATAATAATAATAATAATAATAATAATAATAATAATAATAATAATAATAATAATAATAATA